ATTTTAATTTATCAATATTCTATATTCGTTTTAAATAGATGTCTAATTTATTTAATAATCGAGTTGGAGAGCCTGATAACGATGATAAAGATGCTATCCCATCAAAAACAATAAACTATGGCCGTAGGATCGGTAGTTCATTGGTGGTATGATAAATTTATATTATATTTTATTACTATTTTCTTTTATCAAATATATGTAAATTAAAATAGCGTTTTTTTACGTAAAGGTTCTCGTCTTAATGGCAGCTGTGACAAATGTTTATCAAACAAATGTTGATTTGCCGCCAATCAAGTCTGCATTGACCAGTTTAATTGGTAATCCTTTAGTTCTTCCTGTTACACGTACGAACATCACTTTTTGGGAAACATCAAGAGCTGTAACTGCTAATAAATTTTGGAGCATTATTAATCCTGAGGATAAAGATCAATTCGCTGAAATTCTACCAACTAGACATTTAACATTACTATTTGACAGTGAGCCAGAAGTTGATAATGAATTACATCGGCCATTTATAAATTGGAGATTAATTACAAGGACATCTTTAAAAACTTTCATTTGGTTTCTCAAATTTACAGTATTTCCTGCTACTGGTATAGCATTTGCAATATCTTTCCTAGTAGGTTTTTTATTACCAGCAGATTTGGTAATTCGGGCTGCTAGATTATCCAAAAAATCAAAAAATAGCGTTGATAAAATCATCTTGCCAGCATCTTCACCTTTTGGAAGATCTACATTGTGTGTTACAACGCCACGAGTTGTAACTTTACGTGGTCATCACTCAGCTGATGTTGATTTACTTTGCGCGAACTCGAGCGGCACAATAGTTACAACTTCTACCGACAGGCATATTACATCATGGAATGGAAAGCAGGGTATGCCACTAAAAAAACTTGAAAGATATATGCGGCGCTGTGAATCGTGTAAATGTGGCAGTACTGGAGGTATGAAAAATTGTATATCATGGCCAGTTCGTGCAATGTGTATGAGTGAACACATTGCACTTGTGGCAGCAGGGTTTGAAGATGGTGTGGTTCGCGTATGGGATATAAATTCAGGGCAAGCTACTTATATCCTGAGAGACACCATTGAAGATGTCGAACAAGTGAAATCAGCGGCTAATGGTCATTCAGTAAAGGAACGAGTTACGTGTTTGCAAATAATAGTACCCACTTTTTGCTCTTCGAAGCCTACTACACCAACTCGTGAACTCGGATATTCTTATTGTGCTTCTAAATCAACTTCAGATCAAAAAATACCAGCCACGCTTCTTGCGACTTACCGAAATGGCTATTTTCGAGAATGGGATCTTGTTTCTGGCAAAATTATTCATAATGTTGCCACAAATCAAAAGGGTGGTATCAGTTATCTTTTAGTAGTTGATGATGGCGAACAAAATTATTATAGGGACGAATTGCGTATTTTTACTGGGGCGCGAGATGGATCTGTCAAATGCTGGGTTCGAACAGTTCATAACTTAGACAATGAATCTAATAATACTAGTTCGGGTTGTAATGAACCATGCAAGAGCATATGGAAGTTGTTCTATACTATACCAGGAGATTTTGGAAATGCAATTACTTGTGTAGCTGCTAAAGTAGTCAAAACTCAAAAGAGTTGTTTTGGTATTGTTGTTACAGGAACTGCAGACGGAGATGTTAGAGTATATGATTATCTTACTGGTAAATCTATAGCAAAATTAAGTTATGGAATTTCTGAAAAACAGAAACTTGCAAAAGAGCGCGAAGAGCAATTATTGTTTCAACAGCAGCGACAGAAAAATCATTCGAGAAGATCATACATAAATCGACAGGATTTCTCCGATTCAGATCAGGATTGGTCTGAAGAATACGATGGTGAGTATGAGTTTTGGGATGAGACCAACGAAACTGAAGATGATGTTTCCCACCAAGGTGCGATTACATCCATTATAATTCATCCGCTTAAAGAAGAGAGTTGCCCGTGTGGAAATAAAGAGACTGGCGGATTTTCAATAACAACTTCATCAGTTGATGAAAAAGTATATTTTTGGCAATTGATTCGAAGTGTTATGGACTGTACATGCATGACTTTCCAACTAGGAGAGCCTATAGCTGATGATTATGATAGCGGTGACTCCATGGGACGACTTCAAAAAGTTGCACAATGGGATGATGCGATTACAAAATTTCTAGGACGTGTAAGTCAACCTGGTGGTTCTGCAATTGTGTTTCTTAGAGAAAATATAATTGGAGTTCGTCGTGTTAAGAATTCGCATATGTCCATGAAAAGGTGTCATGGTGCTGAAGGCGAATGGGAAGCCTGGATTTTGGATATTAACAACCCGCATGTTGTCGAACCAACTGAAGATGATTGTTCAGAAAATTACGATGATGTCGTTGAATTTAAAATTAAGGTTATTCCATTAGTTAATGAAAATGATTTAATCGCAGAACAAAAAAAGGAGAAAGATTTATACAAACGACGCGATCGCGAAAATGTTGAAGAATTAAAGGGATTCGTTCGACGACGAAGAGATGTTCCTGGGAATTACATATTAAGTCCGACATATCCCCTTTTCAATAATTACAATCAAAATAATTCACAAATTCATAATTATGAAGAGGACTACACACAAGGACAAGTTGTGGATTTTAGGCAGCGAGGTCAGAGGTTACGTGGTAGTATACTACATCGTGTTTATCCGAATAATGTTAATAATGATCGAAAACTATCGTCTTTTGAGGAGGAAGATGAAATGAATGAAATACTACCATTTTCATATATACGACAAATTGTAAAAGTTGGTGAGGATGGAATTGCTATCGGATATGGTAATTTTGTAAAAGTTATATTGTTTGAAGAGCTAAATGATGGTGATAACGATTTATAGCTACATCTCTTCTCATTGTATCAACTTTCTATCAGTTGGTTTATCAAATGTATTATTTATAGAAGATAATTTGATTTATTCTTTTTTGTAATTATTATTTTTTTTTTTTTTGATTTATTATACATCTTTTAAACATTAGTAATTGATTTCAAAAATATACACATTGTAATATTAATACATTAAAACATCGCAATTTCTGTTATGGGTATTTAAAATATATTATTATCAAGTTGGTGTATTTTAACTTTAAGTTATATAATTATTTAATTTAAGAATTTTGTTCAATATAACAGGTTGTGATATCGCAAGTTAATATTTAAAAAAAAAATTAAAATTCAGATTAGTTAGAGTTAAGGTTCGAGTTAGTATTAGGGTTAGGGTTAGAAGGCATATATATAAGAGCTGAAAACTTTTAATTAAAAGCTAAAGACTAGTTTACATAATAAAATTTTTGAAGATATTTAAAATTTTTAATTTTTTTCTTAATTTTTTTTCTAATTTTTGTTCGTTATTGTTACACAATATCCTGTTATTTAATTTGTTGGTTATATTAACCTGCGATATAGCAACCTGCGATATTTAACAATATTTACCTTTATTCCGAATATAATAGAATTAGTAAATCTATCTTACAACAAGATTCTAATTGAATTCAGTTTAAAAATCTAATTAAAAATTTTGTCAATTCTATAGAAGTCTTATTCAACAAACTGTTTTATATTTTTTTCAAAAAACAAGAAAAAACAGAATAATAACAACTTATTTAGACTATATTTTTAAAAATTATATTTATTCAATTTAAGAAACTAATACAAAATATAGCAATTCAGACTATTTGCTTGTAAAATATATATTAAAGTTTAACTTTAATACAAATAGATCTCTTTTATAAAAATTTGATAAAAATTATTTTCAAAATAAAAGACTAAAAAAAGAAATATTAGAGAAATACAAGAAAATAAAAATACTAATAACTAAGTTTATGAAAAATCCATATTTAGTTAATTTTTTTTTTTTTTTTTATTGTTTAAGGCGGCTTACATTGCCGACAGGATTTTATTAGTATTTGCATACAGAATTATACATTGA